GATATCTTCAAATCAAGCCTAATGGAAATCTGTTATTATCCTATCTTCACAGGTGAGGAAACAGACACATAAGATTACTTGCCCATGTTCACATAGCTAGTAAAGAGATACTAGAGCCGGGATTGGAACCGAAAGAGTCAGATAAATAAAATATGGAGATTTGCCATCACAATGACTAACAATAAGTTGTTCATAAACATTAGCCATTACTGCCAGTATTAATTAATAATAGGAATGTGAAAATTATCCAAGTTACATATTCATACGATACATGTATCCATATACATAAAGCACATATACTATATATATGCATATATATGTAAATATTAAATCCTAATTATTTTCTTCATTCTTTTATTAATTTTGCTTAAGAAAATTTCACTGACTATAGATAAAATCTACAAAATATCATTTAGGAACTTCTTTACTGTCTATGTCTCTTAATTTCCAGAAGCCAAATCATGTACAAAATGTAAACAACAATAAAACAAAATCACCCGGTTCCTAAGGACAACAGAATATTTAACCACAAATATATAACCACAGCCTTTAAAATGTAACCTCAACCCATAACTTTATACACATTCACCAGATGATAGATATTTCTTCTAAATAAGTTTCCTTAAAACATCCTAGCTGAGTATCACTATACCTTACTAAATTAAAATCTGAATGAGAAACACACAGCCAATTCAGATAATCTCTTAGTGATCGGCATATACTTTGTAGAAACAGAACAACTCTTAAGTAGCTCTTCATAACCTTATAAAGCTGAATTAACTTATCATCCTTAAATATGCAATGTAAAATCAACTAAAATTTTGAATGCAGAAAATTTAGTCACCTAGTTCAAGATTACATTATCACCTTGGAAATCTGATATACTAAATCAAAGTTACTATTTGAATTACCATCAAAATCCCTGAAACTCAATTTGTAGTGAAGATTCCAATTCCATCTGGTTTTAAGTCACTTCGATGAACATACCTGTTTTATGACAAGTTTAAACTTTTTCTTGAGTTTTTATTCTAAATTTAAAATAGCAAAAACTCAGAGTTCTCAGTTTCACTCACTCACACCTCTCTTCTGCCTTTCCCCACTCTGCACCCCACAGACAACCAAAAATAAACACTCAAACTAATAATATATGAATTGACCAATGTTGGGCTCCCATGGACTTTGGACAACTAGAAAAAACAAAGATGGGAAGAATCACTGCTTTGCAAACAAAGCCTTAATTAGAAACGTAAATAAAAATCCTTTTACCACTACAGCCCTGAATCTTCCTGAAAGAACATTTCCTAACTACTTCTCATACGTAAACAACATAAATATCAACACCGGCCTCTACTAAATAAAGGCCTGAACACATTCCCAAACATCAGAAATTCTTTCAGGTCTGAACCTTTAATAGGTACCCAATAGAAACATTGCCATCAAAAAGCCTGTTCCTTTAAAAAGTATGTTATAACAATCTCTCTATTTCATAGTGTCTGAAAGACTAACTGTCCAAAAGACTACGAAAAACAGTTAGAAGAGAGCACACAGTTGGTGTTTTTATAATCATACATTAATCTCCCCCTAGGACAAGCTTTAATTGCTTAAGAGTAATTAAAATGTTTCTTAATTCCTTAGGAATCACGTCATTTTTTAACAATATCTTTTTTCATTGCAAGTAAAACATTCATTTATGCTAGTGCACTGTATTTTACCAATTTATATTTTTCATTTCAAAGATACATACACTAGGTAAAAGCAACAGTTAACTGACATGATAATTCACAGAGGATTCAGAAAAGAGTTTTAAAATGTGAATGGTTGAAAGTTTTGAAATATGAAACATTCAAACAACGACTCTAACTAAATAACATTTCATTTTAGAAATTGTTTTAAAGCCCAGTATTTGAGGCTGTAGCTCAGTGTCTTTCTGTTTTTATCCCTTAGATGAACCATGAAAATAGGCACTAGCCTGTGAGTACAAAACCTACAAACACTGAGTCTTATGATAATTTGGCAGCAGACCTAAGAAGAAACTTAATATTCTGTGCCTCTCCATTCCATTCCCTTCTTGTTTGTTCTTCAGATGAAGTTATGGTTTTTGATACAGGAGATTTTCATGTTTTCTTAGCCTCATTATAGGGACAAGTGGTGGCAGGAAGTAAAAATATGGCTGAGTAGGAGAAGACAACCTGTATAAATGTAGGCAGAGCCAACAATTGTGTAAACTAAGTGGAAGTTTTGTTGACCTAAAAAAAAGGATAAAACTTCCAGTTGTGCTGCAGATAAGTTTTTAAATGATCAATCTGCATTTATAACTTGCAATATTTGCAGTGGAGTTAGAGGAGGTCATTAATAGTTTCAAGACCATTTTAAATTTTAATTTATCTCTTGTTTTCTATTCCTCTAATTCAATGGTTAACATGGTTAGTTTCAAATTAAGAAAGTTTTTTGTTGTTGTTGTCTTTGTTTTTGTTTTTCTTAAAGGATAGGGAAATCTTTTATGATCATATTTCAGGGATGCTTGCCAGACATTAATGAATTAACTAAATTTAAACTTAGCTCCTCTAGTGGTGATCAAGAAGAACGAAATAATTGTAGAATATATGTAAATTGATTCACAATCTTAATAATAACTCAGAATGCTCTAGTATTGTTTGATCTAAATAAGCCTGTAAAGTGGATTATGAAAAAAGTTTGGGCCTACATTTTCAAACTATATAAAATGTAATATCCCAGTAGTTTGACTAAAATTCCATTTATTCTCTAGACAATGTGCACTGACATCTTCTTACCTAGCTTTCTAACTATTAACAGCTCTGGCAAAGTATGGCAATAAAGAATGCCTACAAATAGGGTGAGGTGAGTAATTTTGTAACTGTCTGAAGTCATGTATTAAAAGCACGTAGTGCCATTTCTAAAACATATTACTTTGAGAATAATTTCTAAGTATTTCCCAGACTGTTTTTATAGATTTCATACACATCTAGAGTATTTTTTGAACTTGTTTAAGATATGAAAAGATTTCATACAGTACAATATTTCTGGCCATGAACATAATATCAAATTATTAAGCATAAAATATTAAGCAATATATTATCACTCACATGAACTTAAACAATCAACTACACATCACTCACTCAAAGCCATCCAAGGGAGCTGTCTCCAAATGCATACTCTGTTTCAATACTGTGTAATTCTTATTTTGTAAGAGATCATTTGCCAGTAAACCAATTAGAAAATGAAAACTTCTTATCCCTTATTCATTTCTTCAATCCAACCCCCCCACCCCCGCGAAGAAAACCAAAAACCAATCATCTCATAATTATTCCTACCCAAGTGTATTGGTGTAGTCCATTAAGCAAAACAATCATATTTAGCCTTTTAAAAATGATTATTTATAATGGTCGCCTTATTTGGACAGTGCAGTAATACAGATGACTACCAGTCCCCTTCTACCACCACCAGCAGTGGCTGCCTACAAGCTCTCACATGAACCCGCTTTTACACAGACCCCAGCTTGCAAAATGTAGTAGGATTGTGTTCTCCTGAAGGGAAATTCCAAAAGGAGCAAAAAGAAGACTGTTTTACTTTATTTGCTCAATGAAATTTATTTACCCACCAAAATTGTTTTCCTGTAAGAAATCTAGATTTCTTTTTAATTATCTATCAAAATGGGAAGAAAACTGTTTCAGATGCAAAGACACACATCATTAAGAGATTAAGTTTTGCTAGGTCAGCAAAGTTTCTACTTTTAACAGTGGCCATTTTTCATGAGCAGTAGAAATGAATACATTTACTAAAAAAAAAAAAAAAATTAAGAAAGTTTACGGGGAAAACGATCATGGTTGGTATAAAAAATAAAGGTATCCCATATCCAAAATGACTAATTTTATATTATTGTGTTATCATAACTTTAGTAATTTCAAAAGGCAACACTAATACATATAGGAATGGTATATCAAACAAACAAAAATAGTATAGATGTTAATTATATTTATTTTTTAATGGGGTGATAAAAAAGGTTACTATGGTGATTAGGAATGGATGGTTAGGGATTTTGTCTACAGATAAAATTCAGTATGTATAATTCACGAAACTTCTAGGAAAATTTATGCTACGAGTTAATCAAGGTACTGAATGAGGTTTAGTAAGCAATAAATAGGCAAAAGCATTCTGTGCAGCAATTATCAGTAGTGTACTATGTAATCCAGCCTTCTATATGTTGAGGATTTTAAAATGCACATCACACCTAAATGTGCATAACAGGTAGCAAACCATACATGTAATCATACTTATAGGTGGGACTTAGATATCTATGAATTCAAACAGGTATTTCTGTTTATATTAAATTCACACTGTTTAATTTTATAAAAATAATTATCATAGTACTATGCTTAAAGCAAACTAGTTGAGCCTTTAAGAAAGCACATAAATTGTGAGTTTCTTCCATATAAAGGTGTGTATTTTATAAACAATACATTTTTTCTTAACTTTTTCAAATTTCATGATGAGAGCCAAAAGAACACTAGGCAGACACATTATTTTATTGCTATCTAGAAGCAATCTAGTTCAATATTTAAATGTAAATTAATTTGGCTATATTTAGTAATAAAAGGGAAAGTAAAACTAAGGAAATAATTCAAAATTTTCATTTCTCATATGTCAAAACAGCAAATTGAGACAGTGCAGTAGCAGAGGATGATAAAACTCACTCAAAGGTTAAAAACGTTACACTCCCATGCATACATATGCATGTATGTATATATGTGCATCTATGCAAACAAAACCATCATATTTATATAACATTACAATAACTTAGTTATGTGCATCATCTATCTAACAGTAAATATGGATGAATGTGCCAAATAACCTAGAAGAGAAATATAGGCAGGAGTTAAAGTATTTCCATGGATTTAACAACAGAAATCACAATCACCTCATAACAAAGTGAGTATAGAAGAACAAGGTGCAAAGTAAACAGTCAGAAGGCAGACACTCACCTTCAGTGCCATTGGGAGTCATGGAATTACTATTTATATGAGTGTTATCGAGTTTGGGGCCACTGGGGGATTCACTACTACCACTCAGACGGCTATGCGGGCTGGTTAGATCCTGCATTTCCATAGACCTAAAGACAAGAAGTCTTCCATTTGACAGATGTACCAAATTCATAACACCACTATTTAATGCGCTAACGACTTGACACCTCCTTTGAAATACACTTGCACAAAAGTCCCATTGTATCTATTTTCTTAGACTCAAACTAGTTCACCTTGCATCTTGACTTCAGTCATCCTTTCATTTGGCCTACCCATTTAACCAAAAACTTGACGTGGGGTCCATATACCTAGAAGATGTCATTTGCCTTACCTATTCAGTCAAATACTTATATGAAGCGTTTAGCATCTTTTCTCTGCCTCTCTGATACAGCTCAAGCCACAGGTCTAATGTGAAGCTAGTACATCTATTTTAATCTTCAAAGAAGTACGCTCACACTTTTATTTTTATATAAGAGGAAACCAAAGACATTATTTTTTTAAAAGACAAATATGTAAACATGTACATACAATACAAACAAAAATCACTTTTCTTGCGAATGTTTCATCTAATAAATCAGCACTAGATACTCCCTTATAATTTACCACCCAATTTAATGAGTCTCCAAACCAAATAAAACACTTGAAGCCTACAGTCTAGTGACAGGGAATGAGATAGTCCTGATGCATGTGTTTACTCTGGCAAACTACTTAATTGTTCCTCTGTTTCCCTTGAAACAAATGCAGCATTAAAACATGATTATGGCGGCTCACTTGTTTGCTTTGTGGATTACATACAGCGTGCCCAATTGAAAAGGGATAAGGCCAACATAGAGTCCCTAAGAGCATTAACACTTGGGAATACCTCAGCTGTCACTCAGGGAAATAAGAACAATTCCACTTTAAAGCTATTATTTTCCATTGTTTTCCATCTGAAAACAGTTAAATTCCCCTCTGAAAGTTCTTAAACTCAGCAGTGAATCATTCCATAAAAGGTACAGAATTACTCTTGTTCATAATTGAAAAACTGTTCATTTCTATTCAGTACTCTATTAAGAGTGGAGAGGGTTTTACTTAAAGTCACTAAAAACACACCTAGATACCATGGTTCTGCTTTCTGACAGTCAAATTTTGTGAGTTTTTTTGTTTGTTTGTTTGTTTGTTTTAAGTCTAAGACTCTTTCCATGTATTTCAAACTTCATATAGTTTTCTTTTTTATAAAAAAAGGGGGGGTGGCTTATGTTACATATATGAAGTTAGCACTGTTGCTCCTCACCCCCACCGTGTCAATAAAAGCTACAGTTACTGTAATTTGGTGGTAGCACTTAGAGTAACTGCAGATAGCAGTTTTTAAAACTGCTTAACATGAACTGTTTTACTTTTAAAGTGAGTTTTTCATTCCAAAAGTCTCCTAAATTCAAACTGCAAATGGTTTAAAATCCAATTTCTCTCTCCTAATTCACATTACACAGTTACAATTTTCCTAACACCAGAAACCATAACCCATAATCATTTTCCAAACGAGGCTACTATTCCATTTCTACACACTTACACTTTTTTTTTTTTACAAGCACACACACACAAATTGTTAAGTAATTTCCAACCCAGTCTGTTGCTATTAATAGTAATAATTATAAGAAATTCTATACAAAAATAGATATGGGTCCTAAAAAGGCGCTCTCCCCAAGTGCCAAATATCAATAATATCCTTACCTGCAATTTGAGGAAACAGCAACATCTGAACTGGTTTGAGATGTTTGCACCTGTGATCAGGGGGTAAAAAATTAGAAGCTGTTGTTACTCGGCTTCAGTTACTCTTCCAGGTCTTAATTATATAGAGCACATGGCTGAGAACGACAATGCTCTCTTTTAACCAAAAGAGAAAAAGGAGGATCCTGCAGCAGTGAAAGGCATATTGTCTTTAAGTTGAGGTCTCAACTGTTGTTTCCTCCTGCAGGTCTCTCCTCCTCCCCTTGTCAGGGGGAAGGCAGCCAAATGACGGGATAGTGATTCATCACTGGCCTATGACAGCTGCAAACAGGATTACCCCTCCCCCAATCAACATGCAAAGCAGCCTTGCCCAGGCAGCTTGGAAAAGGTACTTGGGGGGGATGGGGGGGGAGGAAGGGGGGTAGAAATAGCTATTAACAAAATGAGTGTGTTTAACAGAAGGAGTTTAAGCAGTAATGCTACAGCATCCCCCTAAGATCTTTCATCTTCTGTTATCATCAGCTGAACAAGAGTTCCCGCCCACAGCTCTGACTCCTGACAGTTTCTTACCCTTATCGCAATGATTTTCTTCTACATTTACTGTTTGTCATTTAACATTCATGAAAACCGCTTCTGGGCAGCTTTCAGGTAATGCTGGACCAACAGTATCTGGCAAAGGAAAGTTTTCAGAGCCATCCTTGAGCAATGGACTCATTGACCTATGCCAATTTTAAGTTTCAGCGAGTTCATCTCAGCCAGGTAAAATAGAAAAGTCACATTGCTTTTTTGTTTGTTAATTCTTTAACTTTTAAACCTGGGAAGGGAATGGAGAGTTTGATGATCAATTTGGTGTCCCAAATAACTAGTCTCTTTTGTCTCTACCAGTAATCTGTATTTTGGGATTTTACTGAACAGTTTTAGGTGGAAGGTTTGAGTCACTGCCCTTTCTCCAGAAGCAATGCAAACTGTCAGCAGGTAATAAGGCTCAGGTGGGTTAAGAAGGTTGCTGGCTTGCAAGGTCAGACTAAACCCTCTGTACTAAAGAGCATTCTGCATTAATGTTGGAAATGACTCAGGATCCCAAATCTTTGGTGTGCATTTTCACTCAACCTGAACTGGCATTAATTATGGCTACAGAACAAAGATGAGAGCTGAACCATCTCAAATGGCATTAAAGTTATCCAACTAAACATCTTCTGTTGAGTCCTGTTATTTGTTAATTATGATTTATGAAATTAAGAAATACTACCTTTCTGGCAAGAATAAAGCATCGTCAATGTCTAAATGTCTCGGTGTAATGTTACACGGAATTTCTGTGTATGCAGTACTATAATATATGCAGGACGGAAAATAATATTTTAAAGATGCTAGAGTATAAAATGAAAATTTAATTTTAATGCCTGTAAGATAGGTCCTTTTGTGATAACAGGTTTTCCCGATTTTTGTTAAAATTAATGTTCTCACACAAGAGTAAATGATTCACCTCAGAAACTATAGCAATATACCTCAAGGGTAGATTTTTCTTTCTTTTTTTTTTTTCCATTTCATACACCTGGAAAAAATTATAGGTGAGAACTAACTTAGTTTTAAGAACTCTCTTGGCTTAATTTATGTAATCATTTAAAGTGTACTTTCTGCTAAATATTAAAACATTCCCATTTTAATATTAGCCAGATAGCATCATCTTGGAAATAACAGTTTAGTTTACTGTATACTTTGAAAAGTTTGGTTATACTTATTTTTGAGGGTTAACCTACCATATTTAAATTTCAAAGTCAGTTAATAACAAAATGAAATCCAAAATGAGTAAAAAATATTTTTTTCTCATTGAAAAACACAAATGCATTTTTAGGACAATGTATTTCTTTTATGCTGGGCTTGCTTCAGCCTCTACTGAGATTTTTCATACACTATGATTCTTGCAAGTTCACATCCATGAACTTCATTTCATTAAGTATACTTCAGATATATTCTTTTGTGTCTCAATGATTATTTAAACCATGTGTTGTGTGTTACTGTATTTAAAAATGACTCTTTAATCAAAATAACTTTAAAACAACTAATCCTCACTTAGGCTGGTCAGCTGAATCCACATCGTGGTCCAGGAAAAATAAATCTACTCTCAAGAATGCGAATGCAGACAACAATTAGACACAGATGTGAGCAAAATTAGTTACAGTTTACAAAATGCTACACTTCACATGCTTTCAGTTTTTTATGTGTAGTACAAGATTACAGTCCAGCAAGGAAACGTATTCTTCTAATGACTTATCTAAAAAGAACACCTAATTCTGGTTGGTGTGGATTTTTTCTTATGCAATCTCTATGGAAATTTCTGTTGCTAAGGTTTAAAACCATAATGTATTTCAAAGCTAATCAATTAGGGATATTTCCATTCAAAAGAATAAACAAAAAGTTCCTGGTTGCAGAAAAGTATTAGGCATTCAGTAAATTCACATTTTCTGCTTTATGTCCATAAATATAATATATTTTTATGTCTTCTCCTAATCTGGTATTTTTAATTCAAATGTCTTTTATGAATGCAAAAGGATTTCCCAGATATTTATAGTCATCTTATACGACTATGAAGTTATTTTACTTTAACACTTTTAAAAACTCTTTGTATGGAATATCCATAGTAGCATATTGACAGTTGTGAACAGACACACACACACACAAAAAGATAATGAAACTTCTTCAAATTTAAACTCAAGACTCCTATACTAGTAATGCTGACTTCTGATTAGTTAATGAGGTCTTTTAAGTTTGCCTTTTTTCTAATTAAATTTATAATTTTTCACAGATGTAACTTTTGTTGATGTTCAATTTGTCTCTCTCATTTTGTTAAACCTCACATAGTACTTCACCAATCCATTGAATAGCCACATTAAATCTGTTAATACCATGCTCTTCAACCCCAGAAATTATTTCCAGAAGGCAAACTTGCTTTGAGAGATCATCAAACAAGACTTAAGGTACACATTTTATGACATTTTCCCTACCACGGCGCTCAGGATGCAGAGTAAAATTCATGACTTTTGCACTGTTTATTATACTTTGCTAAATTACAAATCAAAAGCATCTGACAGAAGATCATGTATGAAGCCAAAAAGTTAATAATGTTCTGTGAAAAGTAAACTGTAAATGGAAAGGGATTCTAAATCTCAGCAGCACAGAGCAAATAAAATGTAGGTACTTGTCAAAATTATGGGTTTTCCACAGGCTTTTTTGCTTGCTAGAAGCAATTTTTATTAAATGACTATAATTTAAAATTTTTTAAAAAACTAAAAAGAAATTTTCAAAGTGAAAGTACTGAACTTATCTAAATAAATAGAGTTGGCAGGCAAGCTAGTTTTTTGCCCAACCACAGATCAACCTGAGGACTTCCAAATCTCAAAGACAATAGCAATTTTATAATCAGAATGTATTTTATGGGGGTGGGGGTGGGGAATGTCTTGGCCATTAAAAAACTTGTTTTTTAAGCTAAAAGTTCTCCTTAATCAATATTTCCAGCTATGTTATCAGTGTTGTAATAAAAACCTAAACCTAAAAGCCAATTGAATTTCTAGGAAAAGGTTGCTGTCTTTTAAACATTAATAGTTTATTTCCCTCTCCATCAAAGGCTCCATAAAAGAATGCCTAGTTAGTATTGCAGGGTTTTTATATGTAATCTACCATATGACTTTCTGAAGTTTCTTGTTTTTAAAGAAAACAATGATATTTTCTATTTTATAAAATGTTCGATGAATATAGGAATAAGTGTTTAACTCATACTGATTCAACTACAGCTTTAAACGATTGTTTTCAAAATTAACAATAAACGTTGCATGAAATACTTTTGGAATCTTATTAAATTGGAAGTGGTTTTATACTCACTGCAATTGTTCTCTCCTTTCCAATGCATTCTATAAAATAAATTTTCCCACTTAAATGGAAATTTTCCTGTGAGAAAATCATTTATCATGTCCAAGGAACACACTTAGCAGTTGATGGTCCTTTGGCACTCAAAAGCTGAACAGTTGCTCAGTTAGACTTCAATGTGTGTCACTGCAAGAGTTTTCAAGATTGAAAATCCATAGCTGCTCATTCACTTACTAAATATATTAGGCCTTGGGAGAACTTAAGCAGCAAGCAAGTTAAATACCAAGTATTTGATAATGCAAAAGCATTACTATTTATGTGTGCATGTCCTCAAATCCAAAACAGTGGGGGAAAGAGTCACACAAGTGTATTACCAACAAAATAAAACCTACTCTGTAAGGTACATTACAAAAGAGAACCCCAAACCTATGGAAAATATACACTGTACTATGTGTTTAACTACCCAAATTTTGTGCCTCTTGTCATTTTAAAACACATACCATTTTTCTAAAGTCAATGGCATCTTTGAATATATGAATTCTGATAAACACTGTGTTTAAATGTGTTCCAAAACTCCTCCCAAGAAATATAACCCCAAGAATCATTAGCAATTCATATACTCGTTTGGAATGACAAATAATTCAAAAAGTTTCAGAGTCTAGTTTTTAAAATTCAAGGTCCATATGAATCATACAAAGTGTCAATAGTGAAAAATATTTCATTTTGGCTAGAATTGATCACTTTTTGAAGATCAGCCTGTTTAATACAGCAGTTGCACAATTTGTTTATTGAAAAAAAAGTGCTATCAATTTATTTTGTTTTCGATTGTCCTTTAGAGAGCCTAATTCCTTCTCTTTTCCCCATATCAACCTAAAATGTGCAGGGAAAGTTACATCTGTGTTGTAATGGATACTTTTTACTGAAGAGCTCGACTGAATAATTTTATTCAATATCAAACAATAATATTTGAGGTTTGTGCAGAAATTCATTAGAGATAGGAAGTGCTCCTCATACAAGATTATGATGGCGTATTCTATTTTTTAAATATGCACCATAACAAAAGTAATTGTCAGCACAATATGTAATTATCCCTTAATGAGTCTAACTACTCAGATAATTTGGGGGTTAAGAATTATAGTTTTATGGTGGAACACTGTGGTTAATAAAGTACGAGATACAAAGTGTCATCGTTTTTCCCATGCCATGATGCTTTTATTTTAAAACAAATCCAAACACTAATAAAAGTACTCCTGTTATCTTGGGCTGTGCCCACAGGACAGCTGTTGCCAGTCACTACAATTTTTCAAACAGTCAGCTTGTACTTACAGTGTTTACATCTGCTGCATCCACCAGTTTAATATGCTCCTTCGAATTTTCTGGTTTAGCAAACCTCCATTCCTTACATAGTTTTGCTCCCGGATAAAGACGAGTAAGTGATTTTAGGAGGTCTCAGTGGAGCCCTAGCGCTTCTAGAAGCGGAGCGCCTCTGGAGGGTGAACCCCGGCTAAATGGAAAGCCGTCTGGTTGTTGCTCCTGCTGCAGGCTCGGGTAGCGGAGCGAGTGAACGAAAAAGCTTTCCCCAGAAAGAAAACCGCCACAGCGGACTGCAACAGGAAGACTTAAAGTCGGAAGTGGCACTGGAGAGTTTCTATCTCGCCCCAAACTCGGAGCCATCAGCTCCCACCGTCCTGTGTAGTAACAGCCTTGAGCCCTGCGCTCGCTCTTTCCCCACTAAACAGCAGCAGCAGATAGCATCTGAGAACCCTAGACAAAGAAACAGCAGAATCTCATCCCTCGATTTGTTTGCGCAGCCTTGTAGGTCTGCCCATGGAGCCTCGGGGCTTTTTTTGTTTTTGCAACGCAAACCACAGCTATTCTCTTGTCCTAACCTTATTGGCTTAAATGCAACAATTGAAAGGAGCACTACTCTATCTGACTCAACCTTGCTGCTTTAAAAAAAAAAAAAAAAAGATTATGTAAATGAACGCGCCCCATGCTATCTGAATAAACAGCTGTGTGAGAATAACTTCTCTAAGGCACTGTCAACACACATCCTCTTACTAAAGCAGCGACCAATTAAGATCTTTAGGGAGTAGTTGTTACACGTTATCTTTCACACTTCTCCAAACTTTTTTCAGGTCTTGAAACGTGGGAAATCTGTACTTTTCAAAAGTTGTTTCCTATTGTACCCACTAACAGGTCCAGGGAAAATATAAACTAGAACGACTGTTTCCATTAAGTGTGTGGGGGTGGGGGACGAGAGAGGGAGGGACACAACTAAACGTGTGATTATTAGCAATTTCAAACGAAAGCCTGAATGATGATTCTGCAGTCATTTCTAGAATGGTATCGTTTACATGCACCATTTTTGGATAGGAACTCGTTATTTCAGTGTTGAGTTTTTTAAATGATTTTTGAGGACACCGTTCATTTTATGTAGAATCTTTCTTGCAGCCTATTCTTGAAAAAAAAAAAAAATCTAACTGAACTCAGAATCTCTGTGTGATAACATTACAACACTCACCTGGAGAGCTGGGCTCCTCAGATTACAACTAAATTACAGTTTCAGTTTAAGACACTTACTATCATGTTTATGCAAATAAATGACTTCAGTTATAAGATCAATGACTTAAGCATTAATTTCAAATATTTAAAGAAAGCATTACTTATGTGCATTATCATTATACTTTAATTTACCAGCCCTATGCCATAATTCTAATACAAATGTTTATTTTAATATTACACATTCATCGTAACCGATTTTCTATTCTAAAATGAAATCCTTATACATATTGGATTTTCCTTAGAGCTGTCTTGTTGTTACTGATAATAATATTCTATTTGATCTTTTAAATAAAACAAAACAAAACAAAGCAGGCTTTACTTTTAAGACTCTAACCTTGGTATGAAAAAAAAAATCTTAAAATTCACAATAACTTAATAAATTATTTTATAACACATTTCCAGATCATCAACTAATAAATCAGATAAAAACTCAGTCTTACCTTTACTTTGCTAATTTGTAAATGAAAGTACCATTCCAATGCAAACAAAACAAATAAAACAAGCTCCTAATGACCAAAATTCAATTCAGACATTACTCCCTCCCCTTTGAATGGGTGCCAGTCTAAATTCCTCAGAAAAGAACTCTTTGTCAAACCTTAGAGGCAGCTTAAGTTGTAAACTCACCTAGGATTTCATTTTGTGTAGTAAGGCAAAGAATCATGGGCTAGTCATCTACCATATTTGGGAAGCTATGTCAAAAATCAGTAGATTGTTATGGGATCTGTTCATATATACAGCAGAAATAGAATTATATTACCACCTACAGCACTTTCTCAGACCAGAACTATCAGTTATTCAATAGACTAAAGTATATATGCAGACAAGAAAACACAGCATGTAACGGAGGTTTTTTTTCTAATGTTGTAGATGAAATGCAATGTTGCACTAACTCAGTCTTCGATATCAAACACCATACACAGTAACTGCTTTTGCTATCATATTTATTTCAAAGCTTGATAAAACAAAGTTTGAGGTTCAGGTTGGAGAATTCAACACTGCTTGACACTTCATATTTAGCTTTTTGTACTCATGAGTCCCATAGTGTCAGACTTATCCTAAATATAAAAGAGTAAATATTATTTTCTGATGATGTAACACTTTATTGGACAATCCGGTATATGTCACTGCGATATTCAAATTGCTTGCCTACACTATAATCGAACATCATATTACATGTGTTTTTATATTGAAATTAAGTTGTTTTTATGTAGATAAACAAAATACTGTTAAAGAAATGATGCATGTAATTAGGAAAAAAACTGTGAAAATCATGATGCAGGTAATGTGATTATGAATTGATATGATATAGATCTTCCTTCATGATTATATAACAAAGAACTCAGTCATCTTAGTCATGGCTAATGGTAATGCCCATGTGCATTATAGCATGTTTAAACATCTTCCCTTTCCTAAAATTAGATGCACTAAAAACGATCACATTAATCCATAAACTTTGGCTAATACTTCCGCATATCAAATAATAATAATTACTATTGTAAGGATGGCACAGGACCAGGCAGTGTTTAATTCTATTGTTACATAGGGACACTATGAGTCAGACTGACTTGCTGGCCCCTCACAGCAACAGCAATAATCACTATTACATACCAGGAGCCAAAAATAAGTTTGTTCCTGTTGCTGTGTGCTTTCGAGTCAGTTCCGACTCATAGGGACCCTAGATACAGTTTCTGAGGCTATACATCTTAAGGGAGCAGAAAGTCTCATGTTTCTCCTATGGATCCAGAATGTGAATTATTGGATTTGAATTGCTGGTCTTGTGCTTAGTAGCCTAACAGGTAACTTACAAGCAGAATTTTAAGTCATTAATAATGCAACCCAGTTAATAGTGTACTGTTAACTTGCTATTTCTAAATTTTCACCAACCATAATTACATACATAGTTAAACCATACATTTTAAAGACAAAGTTTTTTCTAAATAAAGTCATACACATTACAACAGAATTTTGGAAAATCTGCTGAAAATTTGTTGCCAGTAAAGCAGATATGAGTAGGAAATATTACTATCTGATAATTTACTACAGAAATCTTTATATATAAGATTATATATAACACATATATGTTATATATATTATGTATTTCATATGTAACTTATATATAAGTGATATATATATATATATTATATGTAACTTATATAAAATTTATCTTTTAAATTTCATCTATTTCCTTCCTTCCCACACCCTCCCCACCCTCAAACACAGTAAATATATAATTTTATCTGGAAAAGGAAAATGTTTGAAATATTCAACTCTAACAAAATGTTCAACTACCCTCAAAGAGATCATCACTTTCATACTCTGCATCTCCTAACTGTCTTTATATTCTAGAGCAAGGCTGATTATATAGTCATCTGAAATTTTAACTGAATATTTTAATGCTACTGAAGAAGTTAGATTAATAAAGAATTTTAAATAAAGGCATGATCACAAAACATGAGCAGATGTCAAATTTCAAAGAAAAAAAAAGACAAGGAAAGATACAAGGGATTCAGCATGATTTAAAAGGTAACCAGGAGCTTTTCTAAAACGATACAAGTAAACAATTGACTCAAATTAAGTATAACAAATAAACACTGATAAAGCAAAGGATAAAACACAGTCAATGTCCTTTCTCTTTGCCATTCCAGTAATGATAATCATGTGTTTGAATAGTTGTGAAGTTTGCACTGAAAGATTATTTAGAAGTTGTTTTTCTTTTCTTTAATATTCCTTTTGATCACTTCAGACTAAAGCATCTATCTATTACCACCTGGCCCGACAGTTTACTAAACCTCTCTTTCTGTAATGTTTAGATGATTCGTTCTCAAGAATAAAGGGCTAACTAGTCACAAAATATAATTAGCACTCAAAGACTAATGTTTTTATTTCAGAAGGAAGCAAGATTCTAGTTATTATTTCTCCCATGTTATTAAAATCAATAATATCTGGAAGTTTTCAAGATTTTGAAATTAGAGTACTCCAAAATGCTACACTGCAGTTGTCCTGCTTGCAGAAAACTTTCTTTTGCTCACAGCCATGTCATGGCACTCCATCTGCCTCTTTGATAGACCAGGTGGAACAGAGTGTGGACGGCTGATATTACAATGCTTGCTGGCATTTGGAGTGGTCAGTTCCATAACCTACTCTTTCCTCACTGGCACGAGACCCACAGTGAGGGCCCTGCTCCCAGTAGCCTTCTGTTGAAATGCAACCAAGTAAAACATCCTCTATTTATTTTAAGAATGACATTAAATCCGCCAAACGAAATGTCTACTAGTATTTTGCTGAACGTGTTCCATTCAACCTCCAACACGAATACCTTTTAACAGTAAATTTAAGGAGGCAATTACCAACTATTAACTGAACTGGGGAAAGTGATTTTTCATAAATATTCCAATTTTTATACTAACACAATGTGAAAATATAATTTATTTCCTGACTCACTAATAATTACATTGGTTATTACACAGAAATAATAGCCATTATTTATATAGGGTGGGAAACTTGTTATCTTATGTAATAATGACTACCTGTGGGAGGTTTTTTAATAAAAAATTGTTTATTCTTCATAGAAACTTTGAGGAACAGTTCTTGAAGGAAATTATAAGTAGGGTAGAAGTTGATTTTTAAGAAAGGGGAATGACAAGATACAGGCACTTTGGACACATAAATGTAAGAAATGTATGACACATAATTTTATTATTTTAAAATCAATTGATTGTCCAAGATGGCAGACAAAGTTATTTTCTCTTCTCTCTGCCAGAAGTATGCAAATAATTTGTGTTGGGAGCATATGCTTAATCTCAGCAATCACTATTTTGTTTTCTCACGCTGTAAAAGAGATTTCTGTTGACATGAAGCAACCTTGAGAACCCAGGTTGTCTCCTCTTTAATATTTTTGCCCCTAAGCCATGGGCAAAAACCAATCTTGTCAGCACCTCCCATAACATGTAAAAGGATCTGGAAATTTGCTGTGTGTTTTCCAGTTTTCATGACAGCTGAGTTCACAGTTTTTAAATTCTTCAGAAACCATGACTATCTCATGGAAAAAGGAAGGAAATGCATATTTATTGAGACCTTATTATATGCCAGGCATTGTGTGGCACACTTTACATAAATTCTTACTCTATTTCAGCTAACAATGTAAGAGCATATCTGTATGAATCCATGAATCCAGTTTATTGAAATATGTAACCGTCGTCAATCTGTTCTGTGAAAGGCACTGTTCTCCTAGTACAGTCAAAATCACCATTCAACAGTAGATGGAGCAGTGGGATATTAATGTCTCTTGGCTGTATCATTATTTTGGAGCAAAGTGATAACCAAATACATATATTG